CAGTGCATTCCTTCTGTGCTGCTTTGCTGTTGTAACGTTTATCTATAAGTTCTTCAGGTGGTGATGTTGATGTCTGGGTTTCTCGGGAACCGTGGGAGAGAGTTTGGTTCCCAGCTTCAGCGCTAAACGGTCAGAGCTCTTTCTCCCGCATGCGGGAGTGTGGCTAATTGGCCAGGGCAGTGGGGGGGGGGTTTCATACGAATACCCTATATCCTATTATGCCCCATGGGCAGCCGTAATTCTTTTTTTTTTTAATAATCTTTTTTTTGGTTTTCTTTCTATGAAAGTTTATATCAGCTCTGTAAGCAGAAGTTTTTGGCTGGTGGGGGCATGAGCTGGGGTGAGGCAGGGGAGCAGGGGGCAGGGGTAGTGAAGGAAAGTGAGAGAGAGAAGGCATGCCTTTGCTACCCCTGTCCCCTGCCTCACCCCAGCTCATGCCCCACCAGCCAAAAATTTCTGCTTATAGATCTCAGCTATGCTGCCACGGGGGTGGGGAGGTTAGTTGTATTCTAATTGCCAGAGCATTCCTTCTGTGCTGCTTTGCTGTTGTAACGTTTATCTATAAGTTCTTCAGGTGGTGATGTTGATGTCTGGGTTTCTCGGGAACCGTGGGAGAGAGTTTGGTTCCCAGCTTCAGCGCTAAACGGTCAGAGCTCTTTCTCCCGCATGCGGGAGTGTGGCTAATTGGCCAGGGCAGTGGGGGGGGGGTTTCATACGAATACCCTATATCCTATTATGCCCCATGGGCAGCCGTAATTCTTTTTTTTTTTAATAATCTATTTATTGGATTTTCAATATGTAACACGAACACTACATACATTCCACAAAGCAAAAATACAGTATGGATACAGATATATCCTACACAATACTGTTATTATCCCATCATACATATTACTTTCTTAATCATAGAGGCTACGGACACAAATCAACACTACATGCACGCCTTTCTAAAGCTAATTATCACATTAAGTTTTAACTTGCTTTTTATACTATTTAATTTACCCATTCTCTATAGACTTTAAATTCTCTACATAAGGTCTCACATTTTCCCCTTAGTAGCTGTCAGATTACACCCCCCTTTCCTTGTTACTGTCTTTTACTATCTACTAAATAAATACCCAGGCACCCACCATACCTACATAAGTACATATTTCAATAATTAAATAATTAAATATATAAGCGTATACAACACATCCCATTTTTAACCAACCATTTACTCATCTAATTTTCATCCCAAAAATTCCTTACACCCTTCAAATATGACTAATTAACTATAAACACACTTATCTATATCACATTACAACAAAAGCCATACATTCCTTTTTAGCAAAAATCCCTATTACAAATCAACCCCCCTAATTAAGTCACATTCCTGATTTTCCTACCCACCTATATAACCACTAAATAGATACTGATATAAGGAAGAAGCAACCTTACTACATATATCAGTCACTTACCTAACTGAAATATCTAAACAAATTCATCCAAATTGTTGTACAATGGCGGCCATAAATTCATATTTCCTATAAAAGTCTTCAAAGCTGTTTTAACCCCAATCCTTATTTTCTTATCCCCAATCAATGAAGAAAAAATTGCTTCTCAAATTTTATACTACCAGTATACCCCTCGCACATGAATACATGATTACTCCCACAATTAATCACTGTTAAAATACAATAAGCCCATCAATTCATTTTACCGGTAAATCCACTATTCAAACCCACCCATTAGCCTTTATACATCTTAATTTTTTTCCTATGTATCAAAAGTTTATTTTTCCGCCTCAATGAGTCCACATGGCTCTTCTCTTTACATGCATGAGATTTTATTTCTACGCTGCTTCTTCTATGCTTCCACCTAATTATGTCCCAAGCTGCATTCTTGATCTTGTCTTTCCACGCACCTCGTCTTGCTCTCTTTCCTTTCTTTCTATTTTGCCTCAACAAGTCCACGTCGCTCTTTTTTTGCCTATATATGTTCCTATTTCAGAGCTTTCTCTTCTATAATTCCACCTAGTTATGTTCCTGGTTATCTTTTCACTCCTACTTGTCTTCATCTCGTTTTCTTCCTTTTCTTTCTATTTCTCCCTTCCTTATCAGGTATATTTTGTCTCTGCTTTTTCTTTTGTTCTGTCTCTGAATAAGGCGATTCTTTCCTCTTCTTTTCTGCTTCTATTACCGACACAGCTGAGTACTAACATACATCTCTTTATCACAACATGCCTTTTGTTCCACATCATCCCGCCCGTCCAGTAACGCTTCCTCGGCTCGTTGTAAACTTCCAAGCACATTCACACAGGCTTGTTTGATGCCTTTTTGTAATTCCTCCCTTAATATCTTCATAAATTGCTCCAGTGTGAGTTCCCCTACTAATGTGTCATCATCACACACCTCCTCCTCCAGCTCATCTGAAGACGCCATTTTAAGAGTTTAGTCCACTATAGATATATATCCATGTAATCTTCCCACAGTTCAATCGTTCAAGCTCAAATGTGAGTGCCCAAAAGTTTTTTTCACCCCAGGAAAAACCTAAACATCCATCAGTTTCCCCGTTCCTTCTCCAGCCACTAATCCTCTCCAAAGTGGGCTCAAATCTTTTGGGGTAGCTTGCAAAACAATGTCTCAAACACCATGCTTTAGCGCGTACTCACAAATCCTTTCCTCTTCTTCTGCATTTGTGTGTTGTATCCATACTGTAGTTTAAATCAAAAAAAAAAAAGTTAAAAAGATGGATGGTCGCGGCTTGTATAGAGCATGCGCGCACACTCTACTCCGTAAAATGCTCCCGCTTCAGGACAGAAGCGGTCACCCCCCCGCGTTGCCGAGAGCGGGAGGGGCCGCAACAGAGTCCCCTGCAGTAGACCTCTCTACGGGAGGTCCACCGAAGCCCCCCGGTCTCCCGGAGAACTCCGAAAAAAGCGTTTAGGGATCGGGCGTCCTCGGAGCCTCCAAGGGAACCGCCCATCGCCGCGCCGTACCTACTTCCGGTCTCGGCAGCCGTCATTCTTAACAGTGCCTATGTTAATGCATCTATAGCTCTTCAATAAAGTATTACCTTTCCTGATAAGTGTGTACTACGTTGTTGGCTGTGGATTCTGACAACAGAGCTGATGCCTTCTCTCTCTCTCCCTCTCTCTCTCTCTGTTTCCTTCCCCAGCCTTTCCAGAGCTGATGCCTTTTCTCTCTCTCTCTCGCTTTCCTTCCCCAGCCTTTTCCCCCCTCACAGCTAGGAAAGGAAAGCCCTGCTGCTTCTGGTCAGTTTCACTGCTGGGAGTGAAACTGACCAGAAGCAGCAGGGTAGCTTCCCTTTCCTTCCCCAGCATCCCTGTTCTTACAGGGACAAGGTACACGTGCAGTGGGGGGAGTCTGGGATGGCCTATCATCCTTTCGAGGTGGGGCAGGGCTCCCACTCCAAAAACCCCCACCGTGGCTACAGGCCTGGTTTATATGTTGTCAATGCTTTATATGGTCTGTTGTTTTTTAGGAGCAAAATAAAAGAAAACCTCTTTTCACGGGCGAAGCAGATACATGGGTTCTCCTCACGTGAGTTCTTAGATGCTGAGGAAGATTTCCATGCTGAGTGAAACTCTACATTCTGAGCATTCAAAAGGTTTTTCCTCCGTGTGGGTCGTCCAATGATGTTGAAGACTGCTACTATCTACTGTCTCTCCATACCCTCAGCACTCAAAATGTTTCTTCCACTGGGTTTTTTAGGTCCTGCTTTGCTGAAGGTGGCAACTCAATCTGAATCTTGTTCCACAATCTTAGAACTCAAAAACTTTCTCCCTTGTGTATGTTGTCAGATGCTGTTGAAGTGTGTCACTCAACCTAAATCTCTTTCTGCACTCTGAGGCTTCAAAGGATTCTCCCCTGCGTGAGTTCTCTGATGCTTTTGAAAAGTCCCCTTCTTACTGAATCTCTTTCCACACTCTGAACATTCAAAACGTTTCTCCCCTGTGTGGGTTATCAGATGCCTTTGAAGAGTGCTACTCTGACTGAATCTCTTTCCACATACTGAGCATTCAAAAGGTTTCTCCCCTGTGTGGGTTCTTCGGTGCACCTGAAGTGCACCACTATGACTGAATCTCTTTCCACACTCTGAGCATTCAAAAGGTTTCTCCCCTGTGTGAGTTCTCTGATGCTGTTGCAGATGGCTACTATAACGGAATGTCTTTCCACATTCTAAGCATTTAAAAGGTTTCTCCCCTGTGTGGGTTCTTTCATGCTCTTGAAGATGGCCACGCGCCCTGAATCTCTTTCCACACTCTGAGCATTTAAAAGGTTTCTCCCCTGTGTGGGTACTTTGGTGCACCTGAAGAATGCCACTTCGACTGAATTTCTTTCCACACTCAGAGCATTCAAAAGGTTTCTCCCCTGTATGAGTGCTCTGATGCTGTTTAAGAACGTAACTATGACCGAATCTCTTTCCACATTCTGAGCATTCAAAACGTTTCTCCCCTGTATGAGTGCTCTGATGCTGTTTAAGACCGTTACTATGACCAAATCTCTTTCCACATTCTGAGCATTCAAAAAGTTTCTCCCCTGTATGAGTTCTCTGAT